TTCACATGTCACGATCCAGTAGAACTTGGAACAGCTACATTCTCAAAACTATGTTGTTATTTGATATCGGTAGAGGAGACTCATCTCAACATCTAGATCACCGAGATGGAAGCTTGGAAAACGTTATATTATAAAAATTATTGGAGAATCTTTCATATCCTCAGCTAGACGATTTTAGAGGGTTCTAAGAATTCTAATTTACTTTTCTATTTCCAAGAAAGGAAATTTAGAACTTTTTCCTTATTCCTAATGGAAAGCACATATTGGAACGTTCTTCTCAGTTTTGAACAGATTTGCAATCAACACATGTATTATTGATGGAAGTTTAGGAGTAGATGTCTATTTTTATAATGCGTAATTTGCAAAGAATGCTTAGTCAACTTTTATTGGGATACTTAGCTTTTATATTTGATATCATAATGAGAAAATTTCGTATTACATTGCTAAACTAGAACTAGTGATTTCCCTAGAGCCTCCTTTGCTGCAAAAGCTGTTAATTATCGTTGACGTGAGACCGACTCACTGATTGAATTGATCTCTTCGCTTTTATCCAATATTCACTTGAAAATCCTTCTATTATTTGCTCATTTGCAGTAATATGCGGATCCACGCAATCCTTTTGGTTTTACTTGGAATTGTCGCTGTAACCTTCGGGTTGTTTCGTTCATCAATGAGGGTAAGCTAGAACTTTGATGTATTTTGAATGTTATTCTATAGATTTTGTAAATTCAGGGAATCGCAACTGTTGATGAAAATACCGGCGACATCGTCTGGATAACAATGCCTGGTGATATGGCAAGGAATCCGATAGCCAACAAGAGATTGTAGGTAGATATTCAACTTTTTCTAATTTCATTTTTGTAGTTATGAATGAGAAAAGAAACTCAAAAGTGAACCTATGATTGTTAAACCTTTTCATCTTACATAAGATTCCACAAAAAGTCAACTACCTCTTACTTAACTTCGCTTTTAGGGGAGACATCTTTTCTGTAATCAGAAAAGTATTAGTAACCGTTTTCTCTTCTGAGTTCATATAGAATTTCTTGTTTCTGTAATTCTCTTTTGTTTAGTTTTGTCCTTTCAGATGCGTTTTTTGTAGAGCATACGAGAGGAAATGAAGAGAGAAGCAGGATTGTTTGCCCATTGTATTGTCTGCGTTAATAATAAATGCTATTATCCTTGTTATTTCTTGGTTTTCTTTCTGGGAAATGGTCTCGAGACATGTTGAAAATATTGAAATAATCATATGATAGAAATCAATCTTGGCCGGTTGAACAACGGATGTTGAGATGAACAATTGCAAAAACGACGTGTTACATGGATCAAAATATCACCGTAGCGATGCTAGTAACTGCAGCAAATTTTGAAATTTTCCACTGCTTTCATGTTCATTTTAAGTTGATTACGGTGAAATCGCATTTCGTTGGTCGCGACAGATTCAAAATAGGGCACAACCTAATCTGTACTCAAGTCCGTTGTCATTCAAAATTTTCAAGTTGAGGTCAAGAAGTTTCCTTTGAATAAATAGCGCTGGAAGAGTTCGAAAATCATATTTGCGCAGTGTACTGTACGAGAAAAATCTATCTATCTTTTTAGAACAAGATTTGTAAAAAAAAATTCGTGCTTTTTGTTGAGTAATGAATTTTCTCAATGAATCCTTACAGAGATGTTTAAATGACATTCAACGCTAATTTTTTAGTTGATTCAAAAACTACGTAAAATTTAATTTTACAAAAGTTTACACATTTTTTGAACATGTATAACAGGTAAATATTTTATGTCAAAGTTCTGTAGAATATTTTAAAATCTTCGACATCTTTACAGGTGTTGCAGCTCAAGACTTCTGCTTAAAAGAATTTATTTCCATTTTGCTTTCACTCAGAGAAGCACATAAATATGGTCTGCAAGGTTTTGCAAATATTCCTTGAACAAGGCGGAACAATGCTTAATAAACGCTTATAGAAGTGTTTGCTTAGGATATTGTGCGTAAGGGAAAGAACCCGTTTCAAGGACGAAGAGGACGTAAAGAAAGCAGTTACGTACGTTAGCTGGCGAGAGTCGGTTACGGCAAGGTAAACATTGAAAAATCAATAACACACGGGAATATGCTAAATCAGCATAAGTAATTCTTACAGTAATGGGTATACAAGAAGGTTCTTTTACGAAGAAAATGTACAAATCGATAAATCGATCAGCATAGTGCAATTTATCCCATCCATCCCACTGTGCCAAGCATAAAGCCATCAGCTGCTCCTTTAAAAAATCGTTTTAAAGGATTTTCCCGCTTCTGCGTGTATTCAGAATATCCATAACCATAAGGATACTGTTGATACTGTTGATACGGATATGCTTGTTGCAACGGCATCGCCTGCACCATCATTGGTGGAGAAGCTGGTGCCGGAACAATCTGTGGAGCAATAGCGCTCACTACAGGTGATGGCGCCGATCCTACCACTACAGGTTGAGGAGCTATCGAGGTGCCCAACATTTTTGGCGTGCGCTCATTCACATAGTTATTCACAGGTTCGTAGATAGGTACTGCACCGGCGAGCTGAAATAAGATAGGGTAAGGTAAGGTAATGCTCTCTTGAA